AAATAAATAAATAAATAATAAATAAATAAATAAATAATATATATATATATATATATATATATATATATATATATATATATATATATATGAAGCTGGATAAGTAAGTAAATAAATAAGTAGACAAACAAATGAACCAGCGTAGAATTCGATAGAAAACCAAGTAAAAAGCAAAGAAATAAATTGTAAGCAAGTGGGAATAAAAAAAATCACCTATCCATTAAATTTAATTATCTATTTAATTTTTTTAATTATCTATTTAATTTTTTTTATTTCAGTGAAGAAAAAAATCATGCAGCAATAAAAATTTGTTAATTTTAACTACGAAAAATTGTTATAAGCGGACAAATTTCGAAGTAAGAAATTGAATTTTTAAAATTATTAAAAATTTAATCATTAATTTCATATTTTAAATTTTAACATAATAATTTACCATTTTGTTGCATTCCAATTTTGCATGTAGGATCAACGACATTTACAAATTTATCAATATAGTCGGTGACGAATTGCGCTCCAACTTGGCCACATTTCTCATTAATTGCTGGTATTGAGCAAGCAAGTAATTTTTGCGAACTTTGACAAGCTATTTGAGGTGAACTACGTGAAAATTCACTTACACATTCACGAATATGCTCACGTGTGGTCGTTTTACGGATGCATTGTCGCACCTAAAGTAATTTATCAAATTCTTATCATCTTATCAACTGTTAATTTTATTCTATCAATTAATTTCAGCTGATTGATTTCTTTGTAACTTGGCTAATCTTCATCAATCAATTTAAATTAACTCCTTTTGAATTTATAATCAATTAATTAATCTTATATCATTAGTTTCATTTTCCTTTACCCATATTTATTCCATTATCAACATTCATTTCCCGATTTCATTTTCGTTTTTTTTTTTAATCACGCTAATTAATTTTAGTTAATTAATTCCTTTATGTCAGTCAGTCTATTTTTATTTCCTTTTCTTCACTATCCTGATTCCATTTTCATCCTCTTTTTCTTAAAACATTCTATTTTAATATCATATTATCTCACCTGTATATATGTGTTATATCCGGGACCACAAGCAAAATTAAACATCGATATCATTCCTTTGGCCCATAATGGAAGACAGCTAATATTAGCTTGACATTTTTTAAATTCGACAAAATGCTTGCAAGCTTCATCAATTTGTTTTGGCTGTTTAATAACAGCTAAGGGATGAGGTTGAAATGTAGTAATTGTTTGAATGCATGATGCGAATTGTTTCTGTTCAGCCAATTGACAGACGACAACAGATTGTGATGTCGGTTGAACTTAAAATAAAAGTACAAAATGAATTAATTAAAAAAACTGAATAAAAAACTATGAAGCTCTTTCAGGCTTTTATTAAACAGTAATTTGATAAGTCTAAAGCGAAAAATAATAATATCAATAATAAATCTAAAATACAGTAGTCAAAATATACAAAAAGTTAAAATATGTATTGAAATTTGATTCATTAATTGTTTCTGTTAATCAATCTACTACTGTAATTAATTTAAAGAATAGAAGCGACGAAAATTATGAATGAAAATTATACGCTATCAATTAAAAAGATAATGCTAATTTTTTTGTTGAACCAGAAAAAAAAATTATTGTCGAAAAAAAATTTTTATTTTTTGCCAAATAAACAAAAAAAGCTTATCATTGTTGGTTTAGGAATTGGTGCAGCAATTATTGGTCGTGCAATAATTTCATCCAAATTATTTGGACGTTTTTCGGGACAACCTTCTTCAATCCCTAATTCCATCACCTGTAATTTAAATATTTTACGATGTTTACAACATAACATCTATCCAGTAGCTACAGTAATTTCGGTTTTATTTTTTCCTTTGAGAATAAATTTTATAGTTTACATAAAAAAGAAATACAAACCAATTGTCGCAATTGTTGTAAATTTTGAATAGCTTCTATTGAACACATTTCCATAAAAATCTTTTCGCCACATTCGAATGCATCCCGAATGAGATAATATGAATTACAAAGGTATGCTTCGCTATGAATTCCCCTAAAATTATGCCAAAATTTCAAAAGGTCTTAATTAATTAATTATTGGATAGAAGATTTTGTTTAGTATTTTAATTTCACTTAGAAAAAAAAAGCAGATATTGAATGAATTTTTGTAAAAAAATTTTAGATGAATTATCAAAGAAGATGCCTAGGTGAAAAAGTATTAGTGTAATACAGAGAAATGCATTAGACTAAAATTCTAACAATATCAAAAAATGAAATAAATAAATTCTTGCATTAATTAAAATGATTAAATGAAAGAAAGAAGCAGAAAAGGGAAAGAAGGCTAGCAGTCATTTAATTTATTTGATAAAATGATAAAAATTAAAAAGTATTAAAAGATAGCAGTTAATTTGTCAGTATTAATTGGTATTAATATTAAGTTAAGAGAAAAATTCCAATAAATCCGCTCAAAAAAAAAACCTTTAAATAAAGAAATCTGCCCAATAATTTTGATATCATTTCTTCTTTTTTTTGTTTTTACAAAAGGAAATATATTTATGATTAGGATTTAGAATAAAAATCATTGCGAGATGATTCTGTTTTCAATGGTTGTAAATTATTAGCAAAGCAATGAATAAATAAACATATGACTAAACAAATCAATTAATTAATTATTAAATAAATGAATAAAAAAATGAAAAATGAGCAGATAGGCGAATAAATAAATCAACAAACAAATAAGTAAATAAACAAGTAAATGTATAGAAAAATAAATGGATGAAAAATAAATAAATAAAAAAACAAGAAAATAAGTGAACAAATAAATAAAAAGACAAGTAAATAAATGGACAAATAAGTAAGCAAACAAACAAATGTATAAAGAATAAATGAATGAAAGAATAAATGACAAATAAGCAAACCGAACAAATAAACAAACAGATAAATATATGAAAAGCAAGTGAACCAAAAGATAAACAGGCAAACAAATAAACAAGCAAGCAACAAGTAAATTAGTAAACAAATAAACAAATAAACAAACAAACAAATAATCAAACAAATAAATAAGCAAACAAATAAGTGGGCAAATAAATAAGCAAACAAACAATGCATAAAAAATAAATGAATGAAAGAATAAATAACAAATAAACAAACCAAGTAAGCAAACAAATATGTAAAAAATGGATGAACTGAAAGATAAACAAGTAAACGAGTAAATCAACAAACGAAAAAACAAATAAATAAATAGACAAATAAATAAACAAATAAATGAGCAAACAAATAAATAAGTAAACAAATAAATAAGCGAACAAACAACTGCATAAAAAATAAATGTGTGGAAGAGTAAATAACAAATAAGTAAGTAACCGAACAAATAAAGTGAACAAATAAGCAAACAAATAAATATATAAAAAATAAATGAACCAAAACATAAACAAATGGACAAATAAATAAAAAACAAATAAACAAATAAATAAACAGGTAAATAAAGGAATAAACAAAACAAACAAATGAGCAAATAAATAAAAAACAAATGGACAAATAAATAAACAAATAACTAAACAAATAAATAAGCAAATAAATGGGTTAATAAATATATTAAAAAAAAGTGAATGAAAGAATAATCAAATGAACGAATATTAATAAATCAAACTAATAATATATACATATAATTTATGCGTCCTTCCTTAATACTATATTTATCAAAATAAGCAAAAAAACAATAAAATATGCTAAAAATAACTTGTAACATATTGTGTATTGCTAGGCCAAGGCTACTTAATCCGGATTGGCATGTACTGGTACGATGTTTAATCTTTTGAATGCATTCGTTATTTCCGTGTAATAACCTACGTGTACGTTTACTACAAATGGGTGATAATCCAATCCTGAAATAATTTCAATCAATTAATATCATATTTATAGTAAATCAATTACAAATAAAGCCAGTAATTAAATCAATTAAGAACTGAATAATAAAGATAAAATACTATCAATTTTGTTTGTTTATTTATTTAATAAATCATATATCAATGTAATTTTTTTGCATTCATCAATTTCACCAGTAAAAATAATAAAAATTTTGATATTAAAAAAAAAAACCAATGAAATAAAAATATGATTTTTTCGAAAATTTGCTCAATTTAATTCCTTTTTCTTGCTTCAAAATAAAATACATCAAAAAATAGCTATGCTTTTAATTTAATCACATTTGCTTAATTTTATTAGCATCCATTAAAAGTTTAGCACCTTGCAAGAGTATTTAATGGTGAATTAAATGCACATCGTTTTCCATTTGAATGAACAAATACCGTATTACTGATACAGTTATCATATTTATTATACAAATTGCAAATTCCAGAAATGATCGTTGAATTTGGTTGACTAATTTCATGCAAAAAATTGAGACTATTTAATTCGGCTACTTTTCGATTAACTTCAACAAGTTCCACCAAACATGTTAACGCCAAATTTTCCTTAAATTATTACTTCATTTCTTTGTCTTTTGCTTTTTTTCTCTTTAATCAAATATATTATTAATTAAAATTATAAATCAAATTTAAAAGATATAAATATGCTAAAAAAATGTTGTGTTCATTAATGTTTGTTTTCCAAAGATTAAATTATTATTAAGATATTGAAAATTACTATACGATGAAATTAATATTTTTTCTTCCTTTTTTTTTTAATAATAATTCATATTACTAAAATTATATACCTGTTCAGAGTTACATCGTACATTCTTTGGATTTAATTTGAATTCGTCATCATTTATTAATTTCGTATCCGTAATTGTTTCAGCATAACAATGATGCATAATTAAATCATCATTTAATGCATCTTGCACTTCTACAACAACATTTTGCGCTTCTATTGTGCATGCATCAAGCATTATACGTAGCACGCAATCGATATTATTGCTAAATTGCTCCAATCCATTGCAGATTGTTTCATTTTTTGGCTTAAATATTAATATTATTTTAAAATAAAGGGAATGAAATAAGGTAAAGTGAAAAAAAAGTGAAGAAAATATTATTATATTATTAAGTTAGATTATTCAAATTTAATTCAATTACTATTAAACTTTCGTACGCAAATAGTAATATCATCAGATGATTTTTCACATAATGATATTTCACATAATTCAAAAATATTACATATATAAAAATCATAATGAATGGCAATTATCAGTATTATAGTAATTATCAGTAATGTATGTAAGAATAGCATTATCAAGAGATCACTATTATCAGTCTTATGAACAAAAAAAAAAACATTGTTATCATAATTATGCATTTCGTTATTATAATTAACAAAGCTGTTATAATTATTAAAAGGAATACTATATTGAATAATAAATAAATGATTTTATATAAAAGTAAAAATAGAACTTTTTAAATGAGAAATGAAGATGAAAAGGAAAGAAATAAACTTGATTTAGTTTATTTTTTTATGCAAAATTTCAACATTTTGATTTTTACAATTATATTTCAAATTGAAACACAAAAAAATTTCGCTTGCAAGTTTTGTTAAATAAATTTTATTAATAACAAGAAGGTGGAAAAAAACAGAAAAGATTGTGTTTAATTGCATAAAGTGATTATTTAAATGAAAGAAAAAATCTGAAGAAAGTTTTCACAATAAATTTTATTCTATCAAAAAATTGGAATAAAAATATCAATCAATTTATTAGTAATAATAGTAATTAATATACCAGAAATGGAAATGATTTACCTTTTGATAACATTGAGTTAAACTTGATGAAGCATTAATAAAGCATTCCTTTTGTTGCATTAATTTTTCTTGATGTTCACAAATGACACGATAGATTGGTTTCCATTTCGTTTCATTAATAATTTGTGAACAAATTGAATTAACATTACTGAACATATACAGTATATCATACGGTATGCCATCATGTTTCAAATTGACCCTATCATCTAAAATTAATTGATGAATTGAAAAGTATTTAAAGGTATTTAAAAAGTATTACAAATTAATCATACATTGCAATTTTTCAAAAAAAAAAAAGAACGACCGTTTCCGAATATTTACTTTGTTTTAGTCAATTTACTTTTAATTAAATTTATTAAAAATTTAATTTCCCAAAAATTCCCTCAGTCGTCATACTCAATCATTTTAAGAAATCATAATATTAATTATAATTCATGCCGTTTATTTGTTTATATAAATTTTAGCCCAAACAACAACTTCAGATAATGATAATTTCTAAATGAACTTCATTTCTGTGCATTTTCTTAACTTTGATTATTTGAAATGAATTATTGGCATTAGAATATAATGATATTTTTTAGTACTTACATTCTATTACTTTGAAAATTTGAACTTTTGAAATACATATATGCTTACAATTAAATACACATTACATTCATTTAATTTCACAGTCAATAACAGATTAATAAAAGAATTTTTAATTGACAAATCAATAATTTATTAAATATTAGTCTTGCAATATTTTAAACTGTAAAGTATTTTAACAAATAGTAGTTTTTCATTAAGATCATTATATTTATTGTTCTATTATTATTGTCCTATTTTATTATTATTGTCATTATTATTATTATTATTATTATTATTATTATTATTATTATTATTATTATTATTATTATTATTATTATTATTATTATTATTATTATTATTATTATTATTATTAATTATTTATTATTATTATTATTATTATTATTATTATTATTATTATTATTATTATTATTATTATTATTATTATTATTATTATT